GAATCCTCCACCACATCATTTTGTGATAATCTAACACTCAGATGCACCAAGGTTTTCCATTTCCCCCACCCGGGACCTTGCCACCTTTGCCCATTTTACATACTGCCAGAAGTGCCCTTTGTCACCGGGCCTTTTCTGCGCCTTTCAATCCCCTCTTTATTTTAAAATTGGATCCCAGTTCCCCAGAACGGGCAACGCTGGGAAGAAAATTATCCATTTGCTCTGGTCACTGTTCATATTCTTTTCGCCTCACGGGCCAGTTCACCTGTAGACCACAAGATGAATGACTCCAGAGCTCTCAGTGGGAAATTGCAGTAGTTAAACAATACAATGCTCCCTGTCCTCAAACACTTGAATGGGCAGCCTCAGAAAAAAATGTGAATTGTAGCTGTGAAAAGGCCAACCACCGAAAGTAATTGCTGTTGTGGAGAGAAATACACATCTTACAAAGGAGCTGTTTGCAGCACATCATAAGGGCAACATATCAAATTGCCCCAGTGGAAGTGGCACAGGTTAAATCACCTGAAATGAAGTAATTGGTTGTGATGCATGAATTCTTTCTCCCAGTTTGGCACGGAGCGCAGCTCCAAGGCTGCCGCGGCTTTGCAGTTCACACAGGCGATCATAACGGGCAGCACACACAACAGGGCCAGACTCTGATGCTCAGGAATCGTCAGTGTGAAGTCACACTGCACTGCAGCTTTGACAAATCTGGCTGACCTGAAATACCTTCCTCTACAGAGGGAATTCAAAAGGATTAAAAAGTCCGACAATGTTTTCCTGCCAAAGTCCAGACCGTCTGTGTAAAGATTTCCTTTTCTTTCCTTTTCTGGGAAAACTATCAAAATGGGAAGGTAACAGTGACGGCCATTACTCTTTGGCCAGAATCCACATTCCTAAAATGGCCATTTTTTCCCCCCAGGAAGATAAATATCAGCAAGAAGAATATTCAAAATACAACCTGAAATTTAGCTTCAAACAGTTGGTGAATTGTAGTCAAAGAGTTAAGATTTCTTAGTTAAGATGGGTGTGTTTTAAAAAAAAAAACAATCAATGTCAGTGTCTGACACTATTAAACACTCCGCCACAACATGTCCGGATGATCGGACACTCGAAAATCTAAACCTGTTGCAAACACCTGGAAGATATGGCTTAAAATGTTTAAGACATTTTGAGAATTTAAAATCAGTCGTTGACCTTTTAGCTGCAGCCGAATAACTGTGTTGAAACACTTTGGAATCTTCTGGTACAAAGGGATCGCCAAGTAACTGACAAGGCACACAGACTTAGGGAGATGTTAATACAAAGAAATGATAAGAAGACAATACATCTGTGCAGTATTGGAACCTTCAAGGACAGAAGAAAAAAGGGGGGGAAATGAAATTGTGAAAAAAGTTGCTGGAACAGAGAGAAAAGAAAAGAGAAGATATCGTTTCAAGAACTGCGTTTGATGGAGAGCTGTAGTGTCAGCCCTTTGCTACAGAGAAAACAATGTGACGCCATGCTTGGAGATAGTTTCCAGTGTAAAACTTTTCAAAGGTGGCTCAACTTAGTGATTACTTCTTATCAGAATTTAAATCCCTCAATCCTCGGAAACACATGAAAACCCTGGCCTCACACTTTTGTTCCAAGACCACAATGTCCAACAAGCTGTTGGAGGGTGTGGTCAACAAAGGCACTAGAGCAGCGTCTATAAAGAAATGTGGTGTCCAGTGTGGGGGTTTGTCAACTCACCGATCGACGGATGATTTACAAGCAGTAATGCATCTTGTGAAGGAGTGAATTTAATGCTATCAGCACGATGACATGGACTGTGAGCCAACAAACGGTCAAAGGCCTGAAAAAGGAAAAAGGAAAAAACAAAACTTTATTTAACAGCTTTGAGATGTTTTGTGGAAATATATTCCAGTAGGTGGCAGAAACAACTAAAATGATTTACTACAGCTCTTATTAAAAACCTACACATGAAAGAAAACCTTCTGAAAGTCAACTACAGCTCTTATTAAAAACCTACACAGAAAAGAAAATGTAGCAGTATTAGCTTAGCATAAGCAAGCCTTAGAAATTCAATTAGATTTGGTCATAAAAAATTAAACCTTCTGAAAGTCGTGAATGCTACAAACCGTCACAGAAGTTCCAAAAGGACATTTTTGTTCCTGCTATTTAAATCATGAGTTGACCCCGCTAACGACCTTGAACCTACTGCTGTGTTTGAACGTTTTTGTTTTTTTTTCTGCTGATGATCTGAGCTCCTTCAAGCCCTCCGTCTCCTTCCCTCCATCTCATTATCTCTCCAAACATCATAACTTATTCAGAAGCCCTTAAAAGGCAGACTATACCCTGACACAGCGATATCCTACAGAAGGCCGCCGGTTCATTAAAAACTTCATTAAACATGCACAATGGAAACATGTTGAGCGCACACACACACACAAAGACGCACGCACACACACACGCAGACTCAGGGTTACCCCGTGGAGCTAACAAGTTCCCCTCAGCACTTGTATAAAGATCTGGGTTCTCTATGAAAGCGCCGTTGTCAGGACACACCGCATGAAATATAGCCTGCCCTCAGGCCGTGGCACATGAAAGGATTGGCACTGTCCACAACCTGTGAACAACCTGTGCTGCTTTGGTCTGTCACGGGCGAAGCAGTACGTCGTCAACTGTCACGCACCCTGATAATTTCACCTCCTGGCATCCAGACTCTAAATTACCCACCTGGTTGCCACGTTGGTTTCAGGTTTTTTGATGAAAATCACTTGCCAACAGAGAATGCTTTTTCAATAGTCTCTCACTGTAGTAGCTAGCGGCTTTATTAGCGACCGTACGCCTGTTTGACAGCACAGGCCTGATGTTGTGCTCAATCCCATATGCAGCTGTGTGTTACTCACAGCATCTTAAGGTACGTGTGTGTGTGTGTGTGTGTGTGTGTGTTGGGTAAGTGGCCCTCTTCGGCTTTATTACCTGGCCATGAATCACGAGCCTTCATTACAGCCTGCTCATTGTGCTCTGAAGGTTAAGCAAACCAATTAGAGTTCCCCACACGCCGTTGGGGTTCTCACCAACAACCGCATCCCAACGTCTTGCATTTTAAACAGGCAATCTAGGTCTGGGATTAAGAACGGATACAAGAGGATACAAAAAAAAAAAAAAAAAAAAAAAAAAAGGGTTGGGGGGGGGGGAACCCAAAAAAAAAGGGAATTTAAAAAAAAAAAAAAAATTTTTTTTTAAAAAAAAAAAAAAAAAAAAGAAAA